TTAAATATTAAATATTTAATGAATATTTGAACATAGCGATAGTGTTCATCAAGTCAGACCTTTATCTATAATAATATCAACAACCAAAAAAAATTTAAACACATCATGAAACACTGTAGCGAATTTATATTAAAAAAATTTCGACATGCCGTCTGCCGTAAATTACCCATAATTTAGACACCCATGTATAAGTAGTATTCTAATATAAAAGTGTATTTTTTACAGCATAAGGATATAATATTTATAAAAATGAAGACCATGCATTCCATGATCTATGTTTCAATCATTTGATTCAGGTAACCGTATCGTTATTGTCTATAAAGAATCTATTTTCATCTATTTTCGTCATGATTTTTTTTCTTTAATTTACGTGACACCGTATGTTCTTTACTTTTCCTCTTCCTTCTAGCCTCGAGAGAATTCACTGTTGATTTGCAATAATTGTTAGATCCAGGATCACAATTAAGATTGACACCGGTTTCTCGTTCTTTGCCTTCTTTGGTGTAAATAGAACCTTTATTGTTTAAATTTAAATCGTCCATGTTAAAGCAAGGCCGTTCATCATCGCTTTCATTTTCAAAGTATTTTGCTGAATGATACAAATGCGTATTAGTAATAAAAAACAAATCTTCCATATCGTGCATCAAAAAAAAAAAAAGGGAAGAAAAAAAAAATACCATTTTCCGCACTTTCAATCAGGTTCTTCTTTTTTGCCTTTAATGAAAAGTAGTCTTGTGTGCTTAATTTATTAACTATTGTTTGAAAACCATTAACATCGGAAAAATGGTCTTTTTCATTTTTATTGGAATTATTTGGATTGGTTACAACACTTTCAGAGTCGTCTTGGTTGAAACTATTCTTAAAATCAGAAATGGATTCGATCTTCGTAACATTAGACCTAGTTTTTACGCCCAAAATTTCCTTCAATCGTTCAGAATCTTGTACAGCAGCCTTTTTACTTTTAAGATATTTTGCACGATGACTTTTGATATTCAAATATTAAGCCAAAAAAAATAAGTTTCATTTGGAGATTAGAGTTGAACAAATTAATGAACTGTATAATACAGTACTTGAAATATCAACTCACGCGAGACGTATATTGGAATTTGACTCATTTGTGATTTTCGACTCATTTGTGATTTCCGACTTGGAAAGATCCATATTGATATTCTTCTTATTCTTAACTAGTTTTTTATCTTTTTCGTGTTTTTTCTTTTTTTTTTTTGTTTTTTGTATGCTGTTATTTTAATACTCGAGTCAAGATCTAACTCAAGGTCATTATTATTATTTTGCTCAATATTTTCTGCGATATTATTAACATCGTCTTGAGTTTGTTGGTTTAATCCTTTTAATAATTCATTGAATGCATTCGAGTTATCTAACCAATTATCAATTGTTTTCTTGGAGGCACCAATTCCGAGATTATCTAATTTATGAGAAAGCTTGATACATTCCTGTGATCCATTCTCATTCATTCCAAGCCCTTTACCAGGTGACCAACCCATCTTTGATAGCATTTTATAACCATATTTCGTTTTGTCTGGTAGGTTTCATTAATTTTCGAATTCGGATATGATTTTTTTTTTTTTTAAGCGAGAACCTCGTAAATATAATTAAATATAGATGTTTAAGCTCGGTGAGAGAAGAAAAACTAACCATTACTCCATGTCTGATTCCTAGGATCAGCTGGTATCCGTTGTTTTATTTTTGGTCCTGCGAGACCCATTCACAATATGTTAGATAATAAGGACGCGGTTTTTTTTTTTTTTTGATTAATTAGGTTTAAGGTTACACCTGATCTTGATGTTCGGAAGTAACACTTTTACATAACTGATTGTTCAACAGGAGGGAACGTCGATGTTACACGACTGGTCCTTCACCCGGTGTGCAACATATAAAAAAATTATTTTAATTCCGCTAGTACATGTTATGACTAGTGATGCCGTAGAATTGTCCCAATGAAGTTGAATGATAGTTGTCACATGCCGTAACTATAGTAAATAATAAGT